AAAACGATCCCGCTTTTGGCCGTGGGTTATGTCCTGACATGGAATCCTGGCCTTGACCACCTGCAGCTGCTGCGGCCCTGGGGACAAACTAACCCCGTTCAGCTCAGCCTTAGGACTTTAAGTCCAGCCTTAACAAACCCAAAGCTGACTGTCAGTCTGGCTGAAAACCTACCTGATGGAAAAAGCCCATTTGAGTCAATTGCTGGAGTTTGCTCCCCATTCAGCACCTGTTAACATCCTATTTATAGCGCTCCAGCAGCAGCCCTTACGTAACCATTGAGATAGAGGAATTCTTTTTTTTCCCCTCCTATTTCCTCTGACCAGCTTTGTCTTCTTACCTCCCAGTTCTCTTTCAGAGTTTCCAGGAGACATTCTTGCATTTTCCCCGCTGCTCAATGCACTAGATTCTTGCCATAAAACATGCTCTCTTCTTTTAATCCCATTTTTATAAGTAATTACTTTCATGAAATCGTGTGAGGAGCTCGTAGCCCTTTGGCATCAGACGTGTTCGCTACATCCCTCCCTGCAGGGCTTTTCTGCTCCTGCTAAGCCAGGCGTTGTTTGAAGTAGGACTGAGCTATCCTCCTTTTCCAACTGCTTATCAAAAAGATTTTTAACTTTTGGCACCTTTTTCACTCTGGAGAATTTAATTCGCATGGCGAGATGATTAGGAAAGGTGAGCAAGCAGCTAGCAGGAGCTGGTGCCAGGGTTGTGGTGCTCTGTTTGCTTTCTCAAGAGGAGTATTTCTATCAAGGGCTTCTCAATAGGTGCATTTCTTAAGCAGTGTCTCGTTGATGGCTTAAGAGCTAAAAAAAAAAACCCAAGCAAACCAATTTGATTGTGGTTTTGCTGCCACGTGATGGGTAAGGACTTTTTAAATGTCCAAAATTGTATGTTGGATAAGGGAAAGGAAGGAGCTATTTTTAAGTGTTTGTAAGCTTTAGAGAGATGAAAAATGTCAAATATAGGTGGTGTGTGGTTTGTTCTTCTTGTTGGAAGTCTTTCTGTTCACATTTACGGGTTTTTTCAGTGTTTTCATCAGACTCTCGGGGTTAAGTGCATAGAAACAATCTGGAGCCATGAATATATTTTTGCATCCCCCATGCTCAGCTCTTTTCTTGAGCTGTAATTTTCCTGGTGTACCAGTCACGGTAGGGGTGGAGGCTTTTTTGTATGGAGTGGTTCAGGGTTCCTAATATGTATTTCAAAAAAAAATACAGCTGGAATCCCAACCTGGACCTCTTTGTGTCAAGTGGGTGAGCAAGCCTCACGCCAAGTGGCATCCTGGGCTGCATCCGCAGGGGCATTGCCAGGAGGGAGAGAGATGGGATCATCCTGTTTTACTCAGCGCTTGTCAGTTGTCCCTCGAGTGCTGTGTCCAATTCTGGTCCCCAGAGGTAAAGAAAGGTGTGGACAGACTGGAGAGGGTCCAAAGGAGATGGTGGAAGGGCTGGAGGACCTGCTCTGTGGGAAAAGGTCGAAGGAGTAAGAAGAAATGGCTCGGGTGGAACCTCATTGTGGTTTTCTCAAAGGGTGGTTACAGAGAGTCCGAAGGGTGTTTGTTCACAAGGAACCACACGGAGAGGACAAGGGCAATGGGTGCAAGTTGCACCGTAAGAGGTTTCATCTCAATGCAGGAAAGACTTTTTTTTACAGTAAGAACAGTCGCTCTCTAGGACAACCTCCCCAGGGACGTGGTAGGGTCCCTGCTGCTGCGAAGTTTCAAGAAGTGACTGGAGAGGGAGCTGGATAATCTCAGCTCCCTTTCCCGCAAGAGATGTGACCAAATAATCAGTCCCAGTCCCTTCCAGCCTGGGCTGTTCTGTGGTTCTCATTTCCCAGAATTCCTTTATTTTCCTTTTGCATATTTTTAAAAGATCAAACAACACAAGGAGAACACAGTTGTAATAGTGTAAGATCTCTAGTATCTAAATTTCTGGAGCAACCATTTCCTCTTTTGCTCTGATTTCTCAAGAAGGGCAGTTCACTCGTACAGACTCCTGATTTTATTCTCTGTGCGGGAATGCTGTCTCGTGTATTATGATGCCGTTCCCGTTTTACTGATCGCGGGGAATACCGGCAACTGGCTGCGTGCTTGTAGAAATATTCGAAACGGGATTTCTTGCGAAGAGGTTTGAGAACAAAAGCCTTTGAGAAGCAGGATGAAGAAGCAGCCTCGTCCTGGACATCGATCCAAACCCAAAAGCTCTCACGGCTGGATGCGAGAATGATCGTCCTACTGGAAACGCTTCTTTAGAGACTTCACATATTTGAAAGGCTCTTGGCCGGTGGCCCACGAGCTGCGTTCGGCGTCCTTGGCCAGATCCTCTGGCCTCTCCCAGCTGCCTTTGGCCCTTGGCAGAGTCATCGTTCCGGCATCGGGGACCCAGGCACAGCTGCTTGCTTTGTTTTTTTCTTTTTCTTGAGTATCTTTCTGAGCGCAGGCAGCCTGCCATGCAGAGGCTGAACACAGCTGGGTGAGCGAGCAGGTTTTAAAACTCGATGTAAGGGGCTCCGATTACATGAGTTACACACTTATTTCGTCTGGCTGCTGTGGGAAAAAAAAATGAAGCTTTGAAGACCGGAGTCAAAGTCAATATTGACTTGTCCTGTTCTCTCTCCCAAGAGTTAGCAGCGCTTTGGCTTCAGCCCTTGACCTAAACGTCCTTCAGAAGTTTTGCAAAAATCAGAAAGGGAAAGGGAAATACTGAAACCAGCTCTTCTGGATGTGGAAAAATCTAGACAGGAGGGAAAATAATACTGATATCATCCTTAGAAAGCCTTAAGAAGCAGTAAAATGGATGCGTGCACACACCTTGGCTCACCACTGGTGAGTTACATTGAAAAAGTGGGAACCAAAAGCCACGCTGTATTTGTTAGCTTTACGTCCTGTAGTTATTTAGTTTGTATTTTGGAAAACAGTGCTTGAAATAGAAATTCTCTTGCTAGTAGCAGAGCTAATAGTATTGCCACATAATATACGCCTTGTGCGGGGGATTAGAAGCTTTGAAGATCACAGAGAGATGGGAAGAGTCAGCATTTTGGGGGGTAAGTCTTGCGAGCGGAAGACCCCGCACCCTGATAAACCAGACGAAGCCGACGCGGTTGCAGCTCGGTGCCCGTGCTCTTCCTTTTCCTGTTAGCCTGACGGGAAGAATGTGAAGAAACTCAAAAATGAGGAAACGCAGACAGTAGGCCTAAACTTCCTGGAAGCAGCAAAACTCACGCGTCCTAAATGAAGAACGACGCGGGAATCGCAGCGAAGATTTGGCAGTTGTCGTCCTTTCGTCCTCCGGGCAGTATGTGAGTGATCCTGGCCGGATCACCTGGATATACTCGGTGCTTGTGGGTATGAGCAGCCAGAACCAGCTTATTTGAATGTTTTATGAAAAATAAAATCACCCTTCCCTTCTGCGGGATCTCATGGTGAGTTTTGTCGTGGTGACTTCTCCCACCCTTGACTTTGCAGATGACCCTCTGGTGGATATCCTGAGGAAAAAGAGGTTGAGCAAAAAGGGAGCTTAGAAAGGCTGGTGCTGGGCTTGCTCTTCTGGGAGGGGCTTGCTCTTCTGGGAGGTGTTTGAGGCTCCACCTGCGTATCTGTTGGGTATGCTCCAGGAATAAATAAAAGCGGGCTTTGTTCCAGGTGCTCTGGAGGAGAAGGAAAGAAGAGCTTGATTTGAAATACTTTAGCGTAGTCTTCAAATTTGGGATTGAGCCGTGCATGAAATGAAGAGGATTCATGACCATATGTGCAAGTAGGTTTCATCAGTAAATATGAAAACAGCAAATAGCCCTGTAGTTCTAGGAAGAACATCTCTCTAGATGCAAATATTTAACCAGAGTGAAAATTCAGGGTATTAAAACGCGTTGGAGATGAAAACGCAGCTGCCGTGCTGTGGGTTGTGGACACCGAGAGCTGTTCTTTGGAGAAATTTTGTTGAACTTGTCCCGTTTTGGTGACCTGGTGTGGTGTGGTTGAGGTGATGCTCTAATTAGCTACCTTACAAAAGGGCGTGTGCTGTCGGTTGTAAACATTTGGATGGCCATCATGAGCCTATGGGTGAGCTGCCATCATCTTAATAAAAGGCATTTTGTGAGTTTGAAACAAGCTTTGTTTAGCAATATGAATCTGTAAGCCTTTCTTTTTAAATTTTTCCTAATTCTCAAGTATTTCAAGAATTTAGAGGCTTGGTACGTTGATAAAAAACAAGCTGCACCTGTAAAGTTTTGGGGCTTTTTCCGATTGCATCTTGGTGGGAAAAACTCAAAATGCTCGCTTGTTTTTGAGATTTAGAAATATCGGCAGCTTTTACTGGATAAGCTTCTCCTCTGGAGGATTAGAAGCCGAGTGTTTCTTCTGACCTCGAATCTCACCTGCGTGTGGAAACCCTGAACTCCAGGCTCGAGTCACCTGTGTGAGATGATGTTGGGTGCGTAGATCTTTTGAGAGGCTGATGCTCAGGAATTACCTCTCGCCGGCTCCTCTGAGCGCCCAGGAAGGTGCAAAAAACCCTTTTCCACGGCGAGGTCAGCAGACTCCAAGCCACAGGGGTTGATTTTAAAGCTTTGCCTCTTTATCCTTTCAGCCTTAAAGGACCACTAAGGGTCCATCCAAAATGGGAGCGCACCTGTGACGTGCTTCCTGAACCATCCCAAGCCACTGAATTACAGAAAGTTCCTGTTGCCCTTCTGGGCTGCAGGAGCACCCTGCCGGCTCATGTTGAGCTTCTCATCTATCAACACCCCCAAATCCTTCTCTTCAGGGCTACTCTCAACCCACTCTGTGCCCAGTTTGTGTTTGTGCCTGGGATTAGCCCGACCCAGGTGCAGGACTTTGCACTTTGACTTGTTGAACCTCACGCAGTTTGACCTGGCTCATTTCTTCAGCCTGTCCAGGTCCCTCTGGATGGTATCCCTGCCCTCAGGTGAGTCCACCACCCCACACAGCTCGGTGTTGTTGGCAAACTCGCTGAGGGTGCCCTTAATGCCATTGTCCATGTCGCTGACAAAGATGTTGAATATCTGGGCCCAGAAAAAACCCCTGAGGAACTCCACTTGTCACGAGTCTCCACGTAGACATTGAGCCATTGACCACAGCGTTGACTTGAGCGTAGCTGTCAGCACGTTCTGTGGTTCTGGGCGTGCTGCCTTCCATAGGATTCTGGAGCTGTCAAGGCCCAAGAGTTGGAGGTTAATAAACTTTTCAGCTTGTGTTAGTCAGAATAGGAACGGTATTTGTGGAGCAGGAGGTGTAATTCAGCTTCGTCCTTCCTGTAAGAGGGACGTTTTAATGGGAGTCCTGTTGGAAACCATTCAGGACCATCATGCTTTCTCCTCCAAACTAAAGGGTTTCTTTACATTTTCTTCATGAACATCTCTGTTTTCTCCTCATCCGAGACCTATTCTGTATTCCAAGGTTTTGGACAGGTAGGAAAACGAATGTCTCGTGTGTTGGTTGCTGTGCTGTGTCACATCAGGGAACTCGGGAACAGATCTTCCTGCTGCCTTTTCGCTTACTCTCCTCTCCTAATAACACCTCCTGCAGGAGAGGGATTCAGTTAGGAATCCACTTTAACAAAGTCAATCTGGGCCATCTGAGCAGCTCCCTCTGAAGCCACTCGATGAATCACTTGAAAAGGGTGACTTTAACAGGGTGTTAACAGGTCGGCGTGTACCCAGCAAGCGAGTTTCTATCAGGTGGCTTAGTCTTAAATTAGGACTTGCCTTAATTATCTCCCTGTCGCGCTGTTTCGACTTCATTCCATTTGCGGAGCTTCTTGTTCTCTGGAAGTCTTATTGTTTCTGTTTCTGCCCTCATGATCAAGGAAAAGGAGTCTCCTTGCAAATGCACCTTCCCATCCTTCCTTCCTCTTCAACTGGGCAAGCAAGGGCTTTCCAAATGACACCTGTCCACTTTTAAAGCGTTTCCTAGGACTGGCTTTGCGACCTCTTGCCAGCAGAGCTGTCTTGACTCGGCACATCGTGCTGCTGCTTTCTGTGTCCAGTGTCGAGGAATTCCCAGCAGGGCCCGGTGACTTGCAGCTTTTCCTGATGACAGTGCCTTGCTGTGCTTCCTTTGGTGTTAAGCACTTCTTTTATCTGTGCCAGGTCCAGCTCTTGGGGAGATGGGCTTTGCTGACTAGAGGAGGAAGTTCTTAAACCCTTGGGTGTTTTCACCTTCTGCTCCTTCTAAAGTTTGCGCCCGTGTAACTCGTGCATCGCTGATGCTGGAGATCCAAAAGTTAGGCGAAGGATTTCAGTAGGAGATGCGAATCACCTGATGGAGCGTAATCAAATGGGAATGCAGCTCTTCATTGGAGGTGAAAGTCGCAGAGCTTGTCTGCTGAAGAAACTAATCCGAATTAACTCGTAAGTAGACGCAGCTTTTACAGGTCTCTTCTTTTTAAAGGCATAACTAGAGAAACCTTTCTCTAAGACTTTCTTTCAAGGTGAATTAAGGTCACTTCAATTCTGAATAAGACGGGTTTGGTGACAGTTGAACTCAGTTTAACACTCTTCAGTTCATTGGCACGTTTGGAGAGTGCTTGCGTAGGTGAATCGAAGATGTATTGGATAACTTTTTCCTTTTCCTGTTTTGTGGGTAGATATGTCATCTTCTCTGGGCCTCTGCAAGCAGGAGGATCCAGTCCGCTGAGACAAAGGGGTTAGTGAAGAGCACAGCTTAAAAACAGCGGGATGGAAATGTGAAGCCTTTGGGGAGAAGTCAGTCCTTGCGTGTGGAGCACAGCGTTGAGCAGATGCAGCTGGGGTCTGCGTGAATAGAGCAGAAAATCTGTTATTCTGGAGCAGAGTGAAATGAAGTGGCTTGTGCTTGTGGGAACCTCGCTTGGGTTGGGCATTTCCAGCTCTCCTTTCCCTGGAGTCATCACCCGCAGAGCAGGCACCGGTGGGGTGAAGCATTTTGGCCACTCTCATCAGCTTGATGCTGAGGATGGTGGATTTCCCCTGAGCAGCTCAGTTATGACCAGGGACAAGCATCCTTTCTCCTGCTGGCTCTGCTGCGAAGACAGAATCACAGACTCCTTCAGGATGGAAAAGCCCCCTGGGCTCATCGAGTCCAACCACTGACCCTACTCTGCACAGCTCACCCCTAAACCATCTCCCCCAGCCCCACACCTCAACGGCCTTTAAACACCTCCAGGGGCGGGGACTCAACCCCCTCCCTGGGCAGCCTGTGCCAAGCTCTGACCACTCTTTCTGTGGAAAAATCTTTCCTCCTGCCTAGGGTGACCCTGCCCTGTTGCAGTTTGCAGCCGTTCCCTCTGGTTCTATCGCTCATTCCCCGTGAGAAGAGACCAGCCCCAACCTCTCCACAATGTCCTGTCAGGCAGTTGCAGAGCGATGAGGGCTCCCCTCAGCCTCCTCTTCTTCCAACTCAACAGCCCCAGCTCCTTCAGGCGCTCTTCATCCCTAGCTTCTGACAACGGGTGGGTACTGAGTGAAAAATTTCTTCCTGCAGTGCGCAACATCCTTGAAACTTGGATGTTCTGGGGCTTCATGGCAAAGTCAGGTGTCTTCCCTTTTGAGTTTTGAGAGGCGAATGACAGAGAAGGCCTCCTTGGGCTTGGTTTTTTAATTTCTTTCCGTTGAATTATGCCTCTTGCTCTTCAGTCTCTTGGCTTTATGTAAAACTCAGCCTTATTCTTCTCTCTTCCCTCTGGAAAATTCTCACGGCAAGTGTTACAACTAGAGAGAAGTAGGCCCTACAGCTAATGTCATATTTGACCTCCTCATTCCCTGACACCTTTTAAATTCAGTGGGTGATGGAATGAAATCCTCACTGCCCTGTGAAATGTGAGCATCGGTGCTCCCAGCCTCCGCTGGAACTGATTGTAGAATCACAGAGTGGTTTGGGTTGGAAGGGACCTTAAAGACCATCTCGTTTCAACCTCCTGCCATGGGATATTCTCAATCAGTTGAATTGCCCCCTCGAAATATCTCCGATTATAAGAGCCTGAGCGATTACCTCGATCGTAAATACGTTGGCAACGCGTTCGCTTCAAAACGAGTCCGACTCTTCAGATAGTTCCGGGGGTTGAAAAGAAAAAAGCCCAAAGGGCTGGATGTTTCTCTTCCCCTTTGTGAATCACCTCTAAAGCACGTCCTATTTGTTTAACGGTTTAGTCCCGGTGCTGGGGCTGGTCGCTTCCCGGCCGATGCGGTTGGTTTGTGTAACGTCCACCCTTCGTGGGCGCTAACGCCGGCGGCCCCGTAGCCCCGCGCTCTCTGGGGAGCCAGGCCAAAGCCTACAGATTTTTCCATTAATTCCTTTGCTTTCTTCCCCTCTCTTTCAGCCAGCGCTTATTAGTTTTGGAAGTGGGGATTGCTGCGAGACACAATTATTCCTGGAAACAACCCAGATCTGTCAAAATGTAGCCACAAGGAGTTTGTCTGAACCCCGCGGAGCAGCTTAAATTTGGACAAGAGTCAGAGCTTCAGGCAGCAGCAAACAGAGAACATGATTAAGCAAAGCTGCTTGTCCTGAGTTAAAATTCATTATTCAGTCTGGACAAATCATTTATTTCGCCTTTCCTGGAGGAAAGGTGCTTGATGCCTCATTTGTTGTTGCTCCACGTGTCTGATTCACTGCTGATAATTGTAACAGGCTCTGAGAGGAAATGGATCCTAATTAGATGCTTCCCTGGGTCTTGTTCCATCCTAAAAGTCTGTAAAAGAGCTGTGAGAGCAGGTGGGTAGTGAAGAGAGCTGGTTTGTTTGGGTGAGGGGCCTTCAGGGATAATATTTTGATTTTTTTTTTTTTATTTGCTCTTCATTGTCACCTGAACCAAAGCGGACCTGTCTTGAGGTGCAACAAGCAGAGGATGTGCTTGAAGGAGTGATGATTACACACTGAAATTCTACATTTTAGGGGACTATTATGTATCCTTCTCAAGAGGAAGCTTAGAGTTGCTCTCACCAAAACGCTGTTGTACGGAACAACATATTTTTGAAGCCTTGGATGTTCTACATGAGTCTCACAAACAGCTCCTGTATTCAGGGACCTGTTCGTTTTCTGTTCCTTTCATCTTTCTCATTCGTTATGCGGTTCTACGTCTCATCGGATTAAAACATCCACCTCTGGCGCCGGGCTTGCCTTTTGCTCTGCGTTGGAGTCACGCAAGCTCGGAATTACTTTTTGATCACTTGTCAGTTGCTGTCACCCAACAGGAATATTGCTCTTCAGGTTTTCCTGGACTGAATCGCTCTTCTTGTCTGTTCCAGTGGTGGTCTGAGCTGGAATTGTCCTCCTTGCTTTTAATTCCATTGGCTTTAGGGAAGAAGGTGTGTAGGCAGAGACCTTCCTTTTGAGAATCACAGAATCACAGAATGTTGGGGGTTGGAAGGGACCTCTGAAGATCATCTAGTCCGACCTTCATCCCAGCACACCCAACCACTACACCAGAGCCTCAAGTGCTAGATCTACTTTTTTTTTAAACACCTCCAGGGTTGGTGACTCCACCACCTCCCTGGGCAGCCTGTTCCAGTGCCTCACCACTCGTTCAGTAAAGAACTTCCCCCGAATATCCAATCTAAACCTACCCTGACGCAACTTGAGGCCGTTTCCCCTTGTCCTGTCATTAGTAATTAGAGAGAAGAGACCAGCACCAGCCTCACTCCAGCCTCCTTTTAGGTAGTTGTAGAGGGCAATAAGGTCTCCTCTCAGCCTCCTCTTCCCCAGACTGAACAAACCCAGTTCCCTCAGCTGCTCTTCACAGGGCCTGTTTGCCAGACCTCTCACAAGCCTTGTTGCCCTTCTCTGCACCCGCTCCAGCACCTCGATGGGTTCTTGTACTGTGGTGACCAAAACTGGACACAGTACTCGAGGTGAGGTCTCACGAGTGCCGAGTACAGGGGAATGATCACCTCCCTCCTCCCGCTGGTCACACCATTTCTGATACATTTCTGAGAAGCTGTCAAGCTCAAGCTGCAGGATCTCAGATGGGTTCCCTGCTGCGCTCCTACCCCGTGCAAATGCCTTTATCTCTGAGTGGATTTTACTCTCTGTGTCAGACCTGCCTTGATCAATGTTTACGAAGCCGTGGCGGGTCCCAAGGTGAAAGAGCTTTCTTGAGATACAAGGTGCCAGGAGCCAAAGAGAGGAAATAGAGAGAAGCTTTATGTAGGAAGGAGAGAAAATCACTTCTTCGTTGTTCTAACTGGGCAGCTTTAAATATAAATGTTTTGGAACTGTTTCCTGAGTGAAATCTGCCGTACAGAGTGACAGAAGGGGAAAATTTGTAAGAAATCTCAGAAATAGCTTTGGTGGAAGGCTTGGCTTGCATCAAGCTGCAGGCATGTCTCCTCGGGCAGGTGTGGTCCAGGGTTTCGAGTGGGCGTGAACGAGATGGTGAGAGGCAGAGGCTCTCCGGGTTCCTGTTCGGAGGAGTGAAACTGTCATTATTGAGCCCTTTCCTCCTGGCTGCAGCCCTGCTTCCGTGTGGCCAAACACCAGCCGCTCTCATCGGATGGCCGTGGCAACACGTGTAGTCCTGACCCTCAGACACAAACTCAGCTCATCTTGTGACATTTCCCTGAAGCCCTTTTACCTTCTCGTTTTGCTCTAGGCCATAGATCTCCACCAGCAAGAAGTGGCCATCGTTGCGTGGCAGATAACGCCAACTTGTACGTGTTTGGAGGCTACAACCCTGACTACGATGAATCCGGTGGGCCAGAGAATGAAGATTACCCGCTCTTCAGGGAACTCTGGCGTTACAACTTCGCTACAGACACCTGGCACCAGATGGGCACTGAAGGCTACATGCCCAGGGAACTAGCCTCCATGTCACGTACGTATGGAAATTCAATTCCTGTATGCCTAGTCCCGAAGCTATTTTAATCAGTGTCCCTGGCAGAATGTAAAAGCGGCCAAGAACTGGGAAATCTGGATCCTGTTTCCAACTATTCTGCAAGTAGGCCTTGAGTTTAGGGTCTTTGGGTGTTTCTTCTTTCCGTTCTCAATCGGGTTGAGGCAGAGGGAAAGAAAAAATTTGAAAAGCAAGAGGTAGTCTCCAGGTGCTTATCGTAGAATCATAGAGTAGTTTGGTTTGGAAAAGGCCTTTAAGGTCATCATGTGCGACCATCAACCCAACCCTACCAAGTTAGCTGCTAAACCACGTCCCCAGAACCAGCTGGATAGTTCCAAGGCACCTGCACTCTCGGCAGCTAGGTGCTCGGTGCGATCAGACATCTCAAAGCATCCAAAAATAGATCTCCTTGTTCACTAGCTGTTTTTAAAAGTAGGCCTTTGGTTACCATGGTTTTAGCTTGCATCCTTTCTCCTTGAGAGCATTTCAAAGCCATAAATGCATCACGTGAGTCGTAGGGTATTGGACCGATATCCAACGTTCTACGGTCTCCAGAGCAGAGGGTGGTTCTGTTTCACTGCATCTCACAGCAATAAATATCTCTGCTCCGTCTCTCTCTCCTAGTTGTATTGCACGGCAACAACCTGCTCGTGTTCGGGGGCACCGGGATCCCCTTTGGGGAAAGCAACGGCAACGACGTCCACGTCTGCAACGTCAAATACAAGAGATGGGCTCTGCTCAGCTGCCGAGGAAAGAAACCCAACCGAATTTATGGCCAGGTACGAGAGACAGCCCTCAGCAAGGCACTTAGCGAGGCTGCGTGTCACAGGAAAGGGACCGGGACACAGAGGTCTCCTTTCCGCTAGTAATCAGAGTTACTTTCTGTGCACCTAAGGCAGGTGTTGTTAAGAAGGAGATAGAGTGGTCTTGGTTCTTTGAGATTTCAAAGGAAAATTTGTTACCAAAGCCGGAATCAGTTAACTAAGCGCCAGGTGCAGTGGAATGAGAAAGCTTGATTTAAGGAGCGCTTGGTAGTTTATGGAGTTGCTCTGTGGCCTCCTCAAAGCCTTTAAACCCTGTATAGATGAAATCAGCAGTTAGCAGGTCTTATTTGTGTTCGAATAACAACTTGTCAGACTTTCCCTAATGTCATGGGTGAACGTGGTGTACAAAAAAACCGAGGTTCATTCTCACAGGACGGCCAGCTTTGGCTGTGCTTCCCAGTAATAGCGCCAATGTGCTTGTGGTGCAGTTATAAAGCAACTAATTCATCTTTCACCAGACATTGGGGGAAACAAAGTAGTCTTCTCCTTGCCCAGTCTGGCTCAAACTGGCCTTTGGCAAACGGGCAGGTGGGAGCAGAGGGAGCTTAGGTCTCTGCTTCCACCTTGGGCTGCATCCGGGGATGGTGCCTGCATGATCTTGGTGGTTTCTGCAGGCTGATGGTCTGTGTGCTCCGGAATTGTACAGGCTTGCTGTGTCGTTCAGTCTTGTTTATCCGCTGTGTTTGGGGATTTCTCTGTTAGGTTTAATGCCACTGGCTAGCTGACAGCTGGTTTAGAATCACAGAATCATAGAACGGCCTAGGTTGGAAGGGACCTTAGAGATCATTTAATCCAACCTCCCTGTCATGGGCAGGGACGCCACCTCTCGACTAGATCAGGCAACACATGGGCACGAGCGGGAATCGAACCCGTGACCTTGGTGTCTTCTCTGTAACCACATCTGTATGAGGTCAGTGTGGAAGAGATTCAGGGTTAACCGTGCTTTGGTTCTAGCCTCTGCTGCACAGATCTGTCGTGTCTGGTGCCTGAAACTCAGCAGCTCCACTTCTAGGTCCTCACCTTGTGACCACAGAGTTACTTTCCCCCTTCCCCCCCTCCAGCCACTGCCGCCCCCATCTTCTGTGTGTCCTTGTTTGCCCCTCGTGCCATTTTGTAAGTTGTAGGCAGAGCTTTGCAGGCAGCCTCTTGCTTTGGGAGGTCATAGAATCACAGAATG